GGGGGGGGGGGGGAATATAGAATCGGTTGTAAAGTCAAATGCGATACTTGGCTGACCATCTCGTATAGAGAATGTTTCACCCTTCTCACCCTCTTCAGTACCTACTCAGTCACCACTAGCTACCCTGACTCTCTTTGGGGTTCGGGATCGCCGCGTTCGTAACCATGGAAACCCAAGCTCATAATGATCTTCTACCAGCATCCGAGTCCAGTACCCTTCTCACTTACCGATATGTATATATACGGTCTCGTACACAAGCAACGGACACCCCCTTGCGGTGCTACTCCTACCAGGCCCAACTACCCTTGGACATCGACTATACTATAGCAAGACTACCTTTACTCGGCACGTCGTACTGAGAGCGTGCGGGTCATCTTATTAGAATAAAGTTATTGCCAACTTCGTTATGCTGCATTGATCGGAACTTGAATATATGTATATATATATTCCTGTACTAACTTAGTATCACAGAAACCGTAAGTTGATTCGTGCTCTAAGAAACGGTAAACAATGCTCACAGAAGCTTTAATATTTCGACAATTGAATATAAATCCCTATGCCAAATGAATTTCATGTATTTTACGCAGTCGGCTCTATTGTGTCTGGTATAGGGAGTATGTACGTCGGTACCCAACATACGTCAATTTTTCAACAGGAATTCTCATTTTGACGAAATTTTACGGGATAAAAAATAGCGGCTCGTGTAACTCACACCGTGCTATTCCTGATTCTTTTTTTTTTTATTCAACACCCCTTTGTACCCCCACCGCCCTTATACTCGTCGAGGGCATTATATCGCTAACGCGACGTGTGCAAAAATGCAAAACGCATTCATTTCGACGAACCTGAATTCATTATAGCGCTTGACTTGTATTTTAATCAGAGGCGTTATTGCTGAAATAGATATTACAGAGTTACAGCGAACGGACCAGAATTTTTGCAAACTGTCTTTCCTGTCATTACGTACATGACGTCACTTTTGTTCGTATCAAGAATATTAAACAGCCCCGTTGTCAGTATATTAATAGGATCGAGAGAATTTTTCAAAAATTGAAAAAAAAACAGTCTACCAACCATCAAGAAATTAACGATTATGCAATAATAATGTGCAATAATGAAAACTATCAAAAAATTATCAAAGTCGGTCGTCGCACGTAATAGATAAGACGATAGCAAATAAACTTTCCTCGACTTAGTTTTCTCGTACCTATGCGGGATCCGCTGCTTTTTTGCGGGTGCATCGCCAAAACAAGAAAAAAAACCCATGAGCGCCAAACGTTGCCTGGACTCGCGAGAAACTATTGCGTGGAACGTATTACGTTTATTTGCATATACGTAACTCGGTGAGAACTCGAGTAGCTTCAGAATTATTTGACCTCTCTCGAAATTCAAGACAACCTTCGCTCTTGCGTAAATTCAACAACCTTCGATGCCGCTTTGAAAAAATGCACAAAATCATAAGGGATGTTCCTATAGTCGATACCTGTAAATATTTTAGAAAAATATACATATATACAAACACGTATACAAAGTTTCAAAAGAATTTGGAAAACATTATATGTATATTCTCACCAGCTACCTGCCCTTTTCCTCTTTGCAGTAATTAAAGTGATTCCTGACGAGATTCTTAATCATTGACCATTCATCTTCTGAAAGACTCTTGATTTTAAGTGTGGCTTCCCATAATTTCTAATACAGTAAGAAAGTGGTCCCTGTCATCTTGCTATCTGTCTGGTAACCCTCTTTGCCTTTACAGAGACTCACTGGTCCATCGTCGCCCTATACAGAGTCCTAGGGTTACTTAACCATCAGACAACGAGTGCCAGT